TGTGTGCGGTCATAGGGTCTGTAGCCGCGAGAGATGAGCAAATTACACAGCCAGCTCTTCCAGTATGAGTGGGTGTAACAGAAACAGTCAAACCTGAATTTCTACTGTCTGTTAAAAAATTACTGAGTCCTTGACGGTCTGTCACTGTTTATAAGTGTGCACCTCTGGTTTCGTGTCTTCTTTCGTGATCCTCTCAGGTTCTTCGACAAGACGAAGAACGAGTGGGAGGACCGCTCCCGGTTTGAGAAAGTGGCGGGGAAATACGACATCGTGCACATGGACTACAGCACCGAGGAGAAGGCAAGACTCTCTGTCTGTCTCTGTCCGTCCATCTCCTCCTCCTCCCCTTGTGCGCTCACAAACTTTACCCTGCTCATGACATCCAAGCTGGAGTCAATTTAAAGGGCAGCTGCAACACTATTTTTACACTTTGGGGTTCCGAAGAATCGGCATTGATGAGCGCATCTCAAACCACAATGAAAGTTAAACCTACGTAGTAACGCGTAAAATCTCCAATTTACATCACAAAATAGACCGAATTTCCAGGTCTTTGCAGCACCATGTTGCTGTAATTGTCTGCTCTTCCAAATAAAGCAACAGAACCTCAGGTGAGGTGAATTGGCCCTGTGACACTGTAAACAAGCAGGCTTGGAGATAGTTTTGCCCACATATACTACTTACTTGTTAACTCTGGAACATTTCTGCAGTGAAACGTCTGCTGCACAATCTGCACTTACTTGCTCGCCCATCACAGCACATTAGTCATGACAGTGACTAGTGAGCAGGAAGGGTCACATCTAGTCACACAGTTCACAAACTCTCCCTCTCGCCTGTGGCGAGACCAGTGGTTTGCGACAACATGGTGACCACACAGTACTTTTATTAAATTCTCAATTTTTGTGTTTAATTCGAAATTTGTCAAATTTTGCAATACTGTCAGTGAATTTATTTCGTTACCGAGATTGAATAACTGGTCAGAGAAATTAGGACTCCAGTTCCTCTTTAATACCTGTGACACAGTCTCTCTC